TATGCCAGTTATCAGCTGCCTTCAGAGTCAGATATCCAGTGAGGCAGACGAACAGCTGGAGCCTGTTCCCAGTGTGTGCATGCACAGAGTTACCAGATGACGGGAACAGCTAAAGAACAGGAGTTGATTTGGGAGTAAGGTCACAGGTAGACAATGAATGGCCCCTCCCAGAGGAAATAAAAGAGGAGCAAAAGGGGAGTGGAGTTTGCAGGAGACAATTTGTTCACTTAATTGGTTTGTGACTCTCCAAGACTCCTTGCTGAGTTTTGCAGATATTGGCCTGGCAGCTGTCCAAGCCAGATAAGGTCTGTGACTGTAAATCCTCCCTTGAAAGACTTTGCTGGATATGAATGAGCAGAATTCACAGGAAATTAATAAAAGGGATTTTTGTTGGTACCAGGAGTTTGCTTTTGTGCTCTTGGGAAGCCTAGGTCAGAACATTGTTGTCCTTCTGCAAGAGGTTGTTCCATACGGAAATAGAAGAAAATTAAAATAGAAAAATGTTCCACACTTCCATATTGTGGAAGAAGGGCTGAGAAAATATTTACAGACCCCTCACATCCTGGACCTAAACTGTTTCAACCTTCGGGATGGCGCTATAGGCCATTGCATGCAAAGACAAGTAGACACGGGGACAGTTTTTTTCCCCCCATGCCATCACTCTACCGAACCCCTAATTCTCACAGTGCTGCCTAATGTCTATGTATATTTACACAGATAGTATGGCTGTAGTATTATCACTTATCTTCTTATCATCTTTACTCCTCCTCTCTTACTGGTATTATGATGGTGGTGGTGATGTTGCTTTGCATGCACACCAAGATCTTCTTCTGCACCAGAGACAAATTCCTTGTGTGTCTAAATCACACTTTGTCAGCTAAAGTATTCATTCAAAATTTTAGTTAGAGAGCAAGAAAAACATGGTGTGACAAGGAACTCCCTGGCATGGGAGCATTCTCAAGCTTAAATCAGTAGCATCTGGGACCATCCAAGATTCCAGAAGATCCCTCCATCAATTGGAAGCAGCCAGCTATGCCCTCTCTAGCAGCTTTTTTTCTCCAAGGTGATTCCTAGGATGAAAACTATTGTTTCTGTTTGTGCAGTCCATAACTGTGTTGGCCGAATAGCTGCTGCTTCCGCACTGCTTGTTCATGGTTCCACCACAAAACCACGGTCGACTAAAGCGCGCTCGACGAAACCGCGTACCTGACGTCATCACAGCACGATGAAAAAAGCACGCTGTGAGCGGTAAAGCTAAAATTAACGCGTAAACCTAAACCTAACCCTTAACCTAACCCTAAACCTAAACCTAACCCTAACCCTAACCCTAATCCTAACCCTAAACCTAACCCTTAACCTAACCCTAAACCTAAACCTAACCCTAACCCTAACCCTAAACCTAACCCTAAACCTAACCCTAAACCTAACCCTAAACCTAACCCTAACCCTTAACCTAACGCTTAATGTAACCCTAA